AATTTAATTTAGACGTTTGTTTGCAATAAAAAATTCATTTTACTCTTGTTTGGGATTCTCGCCATCATGGTCTAAATCCCTTTATACTACGACTCCCAAGAGGAGGAATTTTAAGTGTGTGCTTTCTGGACAGCTTATTCTTTACTCTGTACTTTAGAACATTTAGGTTTTAAAAACTTAAATGTATACTGATGATTTTATAATATAAAGTTGAATTCTTCCCTTCCCCTCCCCCCCAAGACTGTTTTTAACATTTACGAGGGGCAAAGGTACTGGCTGGGAGAAGTTAATGCAGTTGATCATGTCTATGAAATGTGAATGGCTGTCCTCACCTGATAATATACATATATGATACATGAAACTTTGGGAACAGATGCTTTTAGAAGCCATCATGCAAGCCAGTCATTGATTTCACTACTACACAATGCTGCTAACTTAACTAGCTATGTGATAAAATTAGATCCCCTAATTGTAATTTTATTGGGTTTGCACAGAACACTTAAATCTTATAAAAGGAGCCTCACTATGTGACGTGAGGAATCAGGAGTCAAACTGTAGAACTAAAATTAGAATTTAGTCTAGTGTGTTAGTGTTTTTAAGCCTGTTTCTGGTAAGTTCAGGTTTTCCTGTATTATTGATTGCTGTAGTACTTTGTTTTAAATCAGATTTTTAAAAAATACTATATTACACTCTAGGAATTGCTACAGGCTAGTTTCTGCAAACAAAGTAGTATCTTCTTGGCTTACTTAGATAACTGCTACAAGCCATTGGAATGAGTTATCTGCCGTATATTAGGATTATATATTCCAAACTCTGGGCAACAATTCAAACTTTCCAGATCAGTGCTGACCCTAATGTTTTAATCTTGCCTTTCAAAAATCTTGTATAGACGTAGTACTAGAGACTCAGTGACAACAAAAAAGGGTCAAATAACAAAGTAGAACATGATATATGTATGCATTGCCCAAATAATTGGGGGGGGGGATTGCTTTCTGAAGTGATCTCACTAGTTACACCCATGCATGTAAGTTTTTAATAATAAAAGGGAATCCATACGAAGGGGGGAAAATGGCTTTTATTAAAAAATCCCAAATATTGATAGAGTCAGACCTGAAAATAAAAATTGACTTAATTATGCCCAGTAGTAAGCAAACTGAACAAATACAGCATTGGTTTGAAACATTGGCTAGAGAAAACTTAACTGGAGATTATTTTGGTTCAAGGCATACTTTCATACTGGCCATGGCAGTACGAACCTGTAGTCAATCTACAGAGGGGCAAAAATGATGCAAGCTGGAGGGCTGCCTGGGCTACATACTGCATTGTGAGGATCTCTCTGTAATTCTAGTACCAGCAGAGCCAAAAACTGGGGAAGGCTGCCATTGTAGATCAGTGGTAGAGCACTTGCTTTTATTCTAAGCACCTAAGAGGTGATGGAGTTGAACAATTGCTACTGGGGAAACAGTGTAGATTAATAGCAAAGAAAAAAGCTTTCTCACTATGTGACTTGCAAGTCTACACTGCACAAGTATTTTAACATGTTTTAGGTAGTATGTACTTGGGTATGAAAACCTCGTTCTGTGTACATCAATGTGAATATAGATTTTTTTAAAAAATAGAATAAGCTTAAAACTAATGTTTCTTTTTACATAAATGTGATATTTTTTATTAAAGTGAACAAAATTTGTAGCAGATAATTACACTCCCAACATTCATTCTTAGGTTGTTTTCCCTAGAAAGATGAGCAACAATACTTTACCTAAAGCTATTTTTGGATAAACTTTGTAAGAGTTTTTTTTTCTTTTCCTTTATATTAAATGTTTTGGTGCCTGGGTATGGAAGGTAATGTTTGGTAGCTGCTAAGTTGTAAGCCAGGATGTCTAAGACCAAGGTGATGGATGCACTGAGTGCCTAGCCTTGACCAAGGTCACTTGAAAGGAGTGAGTTAGCATAAGCCACAATCTTGGAGTATAGTTAGCTTTGTGGCTTGTCCAAAACACTCAGTTGCTCTTCTGGGGAGCCTTTTCCTTGTATACTTTTTAGCTTGGCATTTGAGCAAATACGGTAGATACAAGGCAAGGCATACTTAAAATAATACCAATATGGAAAGTCCTAAGCCATTTGAGTTATTAGACCATAAGGTGGGCTTTTTTTTCTTTCTATTAGTACTTGGTGTGGGTACATATGTCTAGTTGACTGATGTTGGAGTGATCTTTGTCCCATTAATCCTTGTCACTAACCCCTTTTTTCCAAAGCCCTTGGAAATTTGAAAATGAGCTGTATGATTGATGGGAATATGCAGCATTGGTATAAAATAGTGGATAGAATCAGAAATCCTTATGTATCCTTGTATGCTACTTTATTTGCAAATTCATGAGTCTCATGATGCCAAATAGCAGGTTGAAAGTAAGAACTTAGGAATATCTTTCCCCGTTGCATAAAAATAAAGGAGATTCAATATTGAAATGCCTAGAATTTCACTTAATTTGTAAGGTGGAATTCAGAAGGCAAAACTAATTACTTAGAAAATGAAACATCTTACAAACCTAGTGCTGGTAGGCTAGTATGTGTTGAAGATAGTGATAGGCCAGTGATCTACTTGTTACTAGGACATTAGTTTACAGTCACCTATCTGCCTAAATACAACCTTGGGAAAGAAGTAGCTGTCTTTATGACAAATTTCAGAGTATACTTGAACTAAGAAAAGTGAATGCAGAGGTTTGCTTTTTTTAGCACAGCTGGACATGCATACAGGGAACTTACTGTGCTTAGTGTCACTGATGACAGTTTAGGGTACTGTGTATTCTGTAGAAACCTCTAGGAGGTTCCAGGCATTTCTTTGGACAGCTGAACACCTTGTATGGCAATGGCATAATGCTGTGTCAACTAGTAAGTTAAACTGAAATCTACTTGGGTTTCCCAAGAACTAACAGCTGAACTGCTGTTGGGTTGTTAATAACCTGTTTTCCCTTAGACTCTAGTCTCTTAGACTAAAAATCCACTTAAAAATCCAACACTTTAATAACACATATTTGAAGAAGTTGATACTGGCCAAAAACTTGAAGCCAAGTCAAAATTTGATGGGGATTGAGGTATTAAATATGTGCCTAAATGCTTCCAGTTTGTGAGCCTAAGTACTTAGCTAATTGAGATGGGAGAATCATGGACGAGTAATAAGAATTCAAGGGTTCCAGCGTACTTCATTTTCTTGTTAGCTTAGAAATAAAAACAATGTGTTGATTTAAATTTCATCTCCTTTTTCTTAGTCTGTCCATGTGAATGTGCTGTGTGAAGAGTAAAGGGGGCCCAACTAAATGTGTTCCAGTGATTCTAATAGGTATTCAAATTAATTGCTGCTTGTCTGTTTACCAATTATGTTAGGTTTCCAGGACCATCTTATATTGGCAACCAGATGGACAGGAGATACGTCCTCTGAAGGATTTTCTAACTTATCCTTCATATCAGAAGTGAAGTGTAAAGACTTTAACCAAGTCTAAGCTTTAAAGACATTTACCCTTAGAGGCCTATTTATTGCAAAACAGTGACCTTTAGGGTACTTTCCTGCCCTTGTTTACCAAGTTGGTTTTTTTTTTCCTGTCTTGACCAGGCTGTGTGGTCTTTTCTGAGTAGTGAAGTGAATACATTTTTAGAAGTCTAAAAATTAGATTAAGAAACTCGGATACTGAAGTTATGGGAAACTTGGTGTGAGCTTTGGTTATGCCACATAAGCTAGATTAATGTCTAAGTGGCAACAGTTATTTGGGTTTGTGCAGTAAAAATAGTTGTACCCTCAAAAGGCAACCTAATGGCTTTCAATGAGTAGGCAGCCAAAGGTTCATAAGCATTGTTCATTGAGAAAAACAAAGTTGTAGAAAACCTCTATTAAATGTGCTTTTAAGTTTCAGTGGCAAAGCATGTCTTGTTTTCATGAAGCGTTTGCTAGGGAACATCTTTACATGCAGATTATTCCTCTTAAGGGTGTGCCAGAAAGAGGTAGTTTAGAGACAGCTTTGTTACATTTAGAAATGTTTTAACATTAATCTTAGTTATTGTCTTAATTAGAAAAACTGGAAGGGTAGAGTAAAATATGTTAAAGTCTGGCCTAAGTGAATATGCAACTTTTTTTTTTCTTTTTTTTGCCTAGTAGTGCTTGTACTATGAACTTTTAAACTATAGTACATTGAAAAAATACCCTAATTTCTCCTTGTTACAACAGCTTTGCTCTCAGTTTAAAATACTAAGTTGAACTTTACATGACATGTATACAGTACCAGTATTTGGGTGGTAGTGGATTTTGGCTATTCTATTGAGCTGATATAATTGCTAGAACATTAACCTGCTTCAAAATTGATTCTAAAGGACTGTTACAAGTCAGAATTATAGAAATTGCTTAATTTTCCTATTTACTAGGGTCCGCCCGCGTACCCAGAGACTAGTATATATTTAACATGACTTTTAAAGGGGTGCGTTGACACCTGTCTAGATTTTTATCTAGGAATAATAGAAGGATTCAAACCCTATTTGATCCTTAGCTCTTTGCTGAAAAGTGCATAAACAGGAGTCCTGAATTTATTATATAGACCTCCGCATTATATAATCGAAGCAAAGGGAAACCACCGATGGAGTTAGAGGTACGTAGACTAAAAAGATGCTTGCAAATCAAATACTGGTTTTAGCATAGTTGAGATTTATTGTTGCCACTCAGTCAATAAGTCACAAGTCCAGAAAAAAAGCTCTTCCTATTAAATCTCCCTGTGGTCCTTATACTAAGATGGAAAACCAAGGAATCAAAGAGGGAGGGGTTGAGGAAAGGGGGGGAGGAATTACAGCCTAGGAATGGTAGATAAGCTACCCCAAAACTTCAAAACTACTAACACTGCCATTCTATTTTAATCAGCTTTTTGGCTGGTACCTACTGCTATATCACCTAGTATGACATTTCGGGATTATCAGGACAATGAAGGAAGCAGTGCACACGGAGGGCATAGAAGGTACGTTGAATTTAAAATTTTCAGTGTAAAAGTTTGGGTTGGGGTGGGCATATTTATTGTCTTAGAATTTTGGAACTCAGTTGTGCCTGACTGACCCATTATAGAAAATAGAACACCCAGAAGTTTCTAAGGAAAATGTAAAGTTAGCAAAAATTTCTGCTGTGCAAGAGGCTCAGCTTAATTAGATGGGATGAAATTAGGTTGAGTTAAGTTGAACATAGTAGTAGTTCACACGTGTAATACCAACACTGGGATACTGAAGGGAAGACTAGGTTACAGTGAAATTGTTAAATTACAAACTAAATGCTTTGTGACTCTCTTTATCCAGTTGTGCTGCTGTGAAAATGAACTTGGTAAGTAGCGAAGATGTTATCAGCCAAGAGAGGTCTCTGGGTAAGATATAATTGCAACATAAAGCTGGAGGGAATTCAAATCTCTGGTTTTTCATAGTGATAAGGCTAAGAGCATAAGTACACTGTCCACCACTTGTTAGGATATTAGATTGACCTTAACCATCATCAACCTACTACAAACTCAACTTTCATCATTGATTAAATATTGGGGCTGCTACTAGTGATGAAAATCTTTGTGTCCATTTCTGCATCCTGGCCTTCATGGTGATCAAAAGGAAAGCAGTCTTTCTGTTGAAGGATAGGTGAACAACAAAATAATCTCTTCCTTTTGGCTTTTCTTGACACAAAGGGCCAGTAATGGATATATATCCTTGCTCAGGTGTAATTTCTCCTTCAGTCTGATGGTGCTTGACAATTAACCTTAGGAAGGTTTTTACACACCATGTTTTCTGGCATGACAGTTCCAACAAACATACTGTACTAACAGTAAAGAACAAAAGGGTTTCATGTAAGTAACACAATAAATACAGTTCACACTTTGAGTTTTAATTTATGGTTGATTCACAAGGAGCAGTTGTGTTTGGGTTAAAGTTGAAGTTGTTCAGCTGCTGTTACTGCTCTTCATTTTTCTTTCAGGATCAAGGTGGGTGCTTTCATATAAAATCTTATTTTTTATTCCTTCTCTGGCAATTCTTTCCTGGATCCTCTGCTTAGCAAAATTATACCTACAGTGGAACCTTGTAAAAAAAAGAAAGAAAAAAATAAGCTACTATTCTATATGAACAACCTAAGGAATTTTAATTTATAGATTTCCAAAATGCTTATAAAGAGGACTATCCCAAAACTAAATTTAAAGGTGGTCGGTCTGTCAGAATAACTAAAGTACCTGTTGTAGAACAGTCATATCATAGGAATCTCTGGGTCTTTATTTACTCAAAACTTAACTTTTTAATGGAATTCTGCCATTTATCAATGGATAATAATGGAGGTTTATATACTGCCATATTCAGGGCAGATTTGCAGCAAACAAAACTAGCAGCTCATACCTTTAATCCTAGCACTAGTCCACAGAGACCCTGTCTCAAGTGCATGTACACACATAAACACATCCACATTTATTGAGTTATTGTTGTTACTCATCCTGACTACTGGAATATCCAGCAAACGTACCAGCATCCTAAAGTCACCAGGATAAATCCTCCTACTCCAACATCACACGATCTTCTAATTCTACCTATTGGAAAGAAGCATGGTCAGCATATATCACAAATTATAATAAACATGTCTTGATTTAAAAAAATACTCACTGGTCACCAAGAAATGTCCAAGTCCAGTCACAATAGATCCTAATGAGCCATAGAGTATAGATTCCCGAGCGCATGGAGTGTTCTCAACATCTAAAATACCTAGGAGCTTGAAGGGCTAGGATAAAATGAAAAAGAACCTAGCCTGAAAAATTAAATAGTTGAAGATTACAACATGGATTCCCAATCAATTTTGAATTACCAGTCAGCCAACTTAAAATGTGTGTTCTAATCCGCCCCTTTGGGATTTATATAATTTAACCTTTAGCATGAAGTGACCAGTCTTCCAAGGACATGTCACTGAGCACTGGTGGTCAAAACAGACTTTTTCACATCCTGTTCATGTCTTTGACATCTGGTGGTTTGTGACTGTAATGCAATCCCAGCAATCAGGAAACCACAGCAAGAAGATTGCTGTGAATTGGAGGTCAGTCTTTGAGAAGCAAGACTACACACAACTTTGTAACTTAAGCATGTATGAAAAGAAGCCATCCTCTATTGGATCCCAGCCTTGGAAAACAATGTGAATGTTTTCTACAGTGCAGCTAGAGGATGATTGCATAAGAGATGGAACCTACATGGTGGGGAATGGCATAAAAGGCATGTCAGATAGGTAGAACTGCACTTCAAGGATCTGCTTGAAAACATGTAACTTGGTTCTCATTAAAGTTGTTTTTTCCCAGATGACTTGTTTCTCTTTGTATCACACCCAACTTTTGAATGGCTCAATATAGCCTGTATTTTTCAGTGGACCCTGTAGTTTCCAGTCTTTGTGGGCTGTTCTTTATCATCAAGCTCACATAAGGAGCTACTTGGAGACAGGCATCATCCCTAGAAATGACTTCCTATGGCCTATTAGCATCTGGTCCATAAAGTCCTAAAGGGATTTACAGTGTTACATACCACCTACACTCTTGCCTAGTTCAGTTTTAAATTGGTTCCTTGTGAGTGGCTAGAAATGGTCACTACAGTTTAGATGTTTCCGAAGCAGTCTGGGCTGGCTACCCTATCACCCACATAGTGATACTGTGACTCCAGTTCCAGAGAACACTAGGACACAAATTAGGTGTCCACTCTTTGGGGCCCATTAAATGTGTCACTGCAAAAGGTGACCTGAATGACATTAAACCTCTCAAGCCACCTCTGGCAAGTTCCTTATCAGTCCTAAAGGACTCCTAAAGGACTGCTATTCGAAAAGACTTTAAAGTCGTAAGGCTGGTCTGCCACAGGAGTTTCAGAGGACTGAAAGAAACTTTCCCCAATACCAGATAATTGCTATCCAAAACTACCACTTTCCTGTTCCTTTCATAGTAAGATGCTGCTCCTTTTACTTAATACCCACATGCTCAGAGCCACTGCTTAGGCACTTAGATTTCATCTCACCAGGAATCCCAGCAATGGGACTCAAGAAAGAGCATCTTGTATAATTTACAGTAAATGTCTCGGGTTGATAATTCCACTGGCCTAGGGATTTGGCAGTAGCAGTGTCCCCTCCTTTTAGGGTTTAACTTTCCAGTTGAATGCCATTTATTCGACTCCGTTTGTGAGACTTAATGGTAGTCATCTGCTTGTTTTGTAAATTGACTAAATACTTTCAAGTTTCTTTTGCTTCCAGAATCTTAATTTTTTTTTTTTTTTGAAGTTTTCTTTGTAGCCCTGGCTATCCTGGGACTCTGTTAGACCAAAGCGGTCTCTAATTCAGATCCATCTACCTCCTAAGAGCTGGTTTAAAGGTGTGCCCACCTGCCCCAAATCTTAATGGCCTTATTTTTCAGAGCAGAACTCGTCTTTATCTTTGTCAAATCCACTGTGTAGCTGTTTGAGCAAATCTAGATGAAATACAAAGCAAACCATTACATTTGATCTCACTTGTAGTGCTACCAAGTTTTCATTTAATCAGTAGTGCTTTAGTTCTGCTTAACAAAAATGCATCTGATGACATCTTTTAGACACTTAACCATGGTTCCATTCAGGGGACACCTCTCTGTAGCCATTCTATCAGGCCTAGCAGTTCGTGACAAAACTAGTTTTATTTCGACTAGCTTAAATGAATGAATTTTGACTATTCCATTGCCCCAGTAGGATGTGCTTCATGGAGAGTGGAGATTTTGTCTTTTTTGATAATAGTGGCTAAACTGCAGTACTCACATTGAATTAGCAAATCTACCTTACCCGTGAGTGTGCGGTTGTGTGCTGTGCAAGGAAACGGACTGACACACTTGCTGGCCCAGAACTCTACTCCTGCCTCAACCGTCTAAGTGCAGAGATTACTCAAGACCCCTCTATTAGCCTTTTCTACCAAGTAAGTACAATGCAGTGCTAGGGTTTGGATCAGTCGCCGTTTTCTGATCCTGCGGGCCTGGCCTGCTCTTCTCTAGATAGCTGGCAATTTAGACACATCTGGGATATGAAGACTAGATCGCTGATACACCTCAGCCATGAGGATAGGTCTAGGAAACCGGGTCGCCCTCCTGCGCACCTTCCCCTCCGCCTGCCCCACGGCGAACATTACCTTTTTCTCCGACTCGTGGGGCTCCCGGGCGGCAGCCATGAGTGCCAGTCGTCTTCACCGCCCCGCCCAGGCCCGCTACGGAAGCAATTCAGGCTCCACCCACCCGCGCGGCGGCGGCCATCTTAGGGAGCGTTCCTGGGGCTGTCCCGAAGCCCGCCCTGGCTCCCTCCTTTGTTCCGTGGAACCGGCCACACTATTTCTCCAACCCCACAACCGTCCATCAGGAATGGAACGCCAGAGATGGCAACCTAGAGAAGCGCCACCGGCTCCCGTCTCGTAGGCGGGACGGCCCGAGACGAGGAGCACGGCGAGACTCGCTTCCCTCAGCCCCTCCTCCTCCTTAACCGCCATTTCCAACCGTTGTGCGCGTTCCCGTGCGGGGTGCGCGCCGAGGGCGGAGCCGGGACCGCGCGTCCGGCGCTGCTTTGTCCTCTGAGAGGGCGGGAGTCTGGGCTTGACGGCCCCCGCACTGCCGGAAGTCGCCTGGCGCTGTTTCCGCGGGCCTCGTCCCCTACGCGTCCTTTGTCCTGGTTTTGGTGACCTTGACAACCTCCGCACCCCCATCCAGCCTCAGTCCCTCGCGGCGGCCTCCAAGCGCCGGGCATGCCCACGCCGCCCCCCCTCCGGCCCTCAGATTAAGAAGGTTAAAAATAGCACGCTGCTCGCGTGGAGGGGACTCAGGACAAAATGGAGGCTGCCGCTACCTAAGGGGCATGCGTCAGGCGGCAAGTGCCTTCCCTTCGGGACGCAGGCCGTCGGGTGACGCGACGGTGACATAGCGGGAAGGAGCCCAGAACGTGTGTGTCGCTTGTGCCAAGTATCAGCAGGCGGTGGCGACTCCGCTTTCAGTTTAATGTCCTGGATCCCGCCTTTCGCCTGTCTTTGTTTACCTCTACTTCCGGATTTGGCCTTTTCCGTTCCAAACGGCCCTTCCCAGCTAAATGTCCACGCCTGTCATTGTGCAGAGTCATGCTGCCTTTAATGTAGCGTGCTGCACACTCCTTTCCGATAGTGCTAGCTGGGAGGGTCTCATCTTAACTACCATGCCGACTGCTTACTGTCTTTTTCTTCATTATCATTAACTGCTTTCCACCAATCTCGGGGTAAAAGTGATTTATATTTCTCTTTATGCGTAGCATTTTTTTTAAAGGAAACTGAACACTTACAAAGTGTATAATGCTCTAATATTACTAAGACTAGAAAAGGAACTGTTTGTTATCTTGACAGTTTGGGATGCTCTGCTGAAATTTTTGGCTAGCCAGGCTTTGAATTCTTGTCTGGAACTAATATTTAAGGTAGTAATATTCCATAGAGGAGAAAGGAATTCTTTTGCATTCCTAATTGCTGTATAAAGGACATAATGGGAAAAGTACCGAGGAAATAATGTTGCCATTTTATTTGTGACTGAGACGTTGCTAGAGTATACTGAGTTGGAGTCTATTTCACTTGTTTGAAAAAAAATGTCCTAGTGGATTCGCTAAAGTTTCTTAATTTAACAAAAATGGAATATTTTTCAGTTTTTTCTTTTAATAGTTAATAGTGAAAAGTAACCCCCCCCCCAAAAAAAAAAAGATTTGAAAAAAGCCGGGCGGTGGTGGCGCACACCTTTAATCCCAGCATTTGGGAGGCAGAGACAGGCGGATTTCTGAGTTTGAGGCCAGCCTAGTCTACAGAGTGAGTTCCAGGACAGCCAGGGCTACACAGAGAAACCCTGTCTCGAAAAACCAAAAAAAAAAAAAAAAGTAACAAACTCATTGTTCTCCCTGAAGGTGTGGATGAAAAAAAACAATTTCACTCTGAAAGGAATAGAGCTTATTGTGTAGTAAAATGTGAGTGATCATGACCCAACAACGGAATTCAGCCTGCCCTCAAACCATTTTCAACATAAAACTGTTACAGTTTTATGAATTTTATATGGTAACAAAAGAGATAACATAGTTCAGCTATTAGCCTTAGGTTTCTTT